TCGCCCCCTGGTGGACACTAGAGAGAATGCAGCTTTAACACATGAAGGGCTGACTTCTCTCGGCTGAACCGGATTTCTGTAACCTGCACACCGTCGATTAGCAGCATTGCAACACATGAAGAGTTCTTGTTTACTGGGAGACCTGCAGAGTGAAACCAATCTAAACACTGATGATGACATTATTCAAAAAGCCAAAAATCAACATTTACTGAAGTTAAATTATCGCCAAAACTTTTGTTGATGGATTTAACGTTTAGTCTCTGAGGAACACCGTGAAGTTGAGTCATTCTCAGGTGAGGAGTGACTCTGAGGAGTGATTCTGTGGAGTGACTCTGTGGAGGGATTCTGAGGAGTGACTGAGGAGTGACTCTGAGGAGTGATTCTGTGGAGGGACTCTGAGGAGTGACTCTGTGGAGGGACTCTGAGGAGTGACTCTGTGGAGGGACTCTGTGGAGTGACTCTGTGGAGGGACTCTGTGGAGGGACTCTGTGGAGTGACTCTGAGGACTGATTCTGTGGAGTGACTCTGTGGAGTGACTCTGTGGAGGGACTCTGTGGAGTGACTCTGAGGAGTGATTCTGTGGAGGGACTCTGTGGAGTGACTCTGAGGAGTGATTCTGTGGAGTGACTCTGTGGAGTGACTCTGTGGAGTGATTCTGTGGAGTGACTCTGAGGAGTGACTCTGAGGAGTGATTCTGTGGAGGGACTCTGTGGAGTGACTCTGTGGAGTGACTCTGAGGAGTGACTCTGAGGAGTGATTCTGAGGAGTGACTCTGAGGAGTGACTCTGAGGAGTGATTCTGAGGAGGGACTCTGTGGAGTGACTCTGAGGAGTGATTCTGTGGAGTGACTCTGTGGAGTGATTCTGTGGAGTGACTCTGAGGAGTGACTCTGAGGAGTGATTCTGTGGAGTGACTCTGTGGAGTGACTCTGAGGAGTGATTCTGTGGAGTGACTCTGTGGAGTGACTCTGTGGAGTGATTCTGAGGAGTGATTCTGTGGAGTGACTCTGAGGAGTGATTCTGTGGAGGGACTCTGTGGAGTGACTCTGTGGAGTGATTCTGAGGAGTGATTCTGTGGAGGGACTCTATGGAGTGACTCTGTGGAGTGACTGTGGACTGACTGAGTGGCTGACACTCTGAGTGACACTCTGGCTCCATGTGAGACGCCTCACTCCCTTTGGCGTCGCCCGGCAACAACGTGTCTCCATAGTAACAGCCTCACCCGGAGTTGTGATGTTTTGTGTGATGGTGTTAATGTGGGGGAGGAAACTATCATCACTTTCAACACTGTGGGGGAGTACAGTGTGTGTGTGTGTGTGTGTGTTTGTTGTTTTCAGCCCATTGACGCAGATTAAAGTTCACCAGTTGTGTCTGAAGAACGCGGGGTTTACTCTATTCTGACGTACTCTGTCAGTTTAGTTCAGAGATACGGCATACGGAGTATACGTCTCTACGTCACTTCTCCTCAGTCCATACATGTTCACTTCCTGTTTATTGGCTGCAAAAAAATAACATGGCAACATGTATATATATATCCTGTATGTATGTGACATGATATTTGTTGTTTTGGCTTTCTTTGAAAGAGTAAGAGGTGACTTGTTGTGACTGACTCTTAATGCTCTCTGATAGTGATGATGTCATTCCTCTGCATCTTACAGTTCGTCAAAGGCTGATTTATCTTAACATCGGATTCTTGTGACATAAAAGTTGATTCACGTTCATAACGGTTTAGATGCAGCTGTCGTGATGAGCAGCACTGTGTACCTGGTGAGGAACACACAGACTCTCTGCACTGCAGCACATTCTCCTCGTCTCCGTGTAAAACAGGAACACTCTCATTTAGAGCCTGCGTGTCACAATCCAGACACTTTCAAAGCTATTTTAATTTGCATGTTTGCATTGTTATAGAAAACCTTTATGAGCATCCACAAGTCCTGTTGTGGTGTATATTCCTGCAGCTGGTGGAGAACTAAATAAGTTATTACATTTACAAATGAGCCAAGCGTGACACACAGCTGTCTGTCAGAGAGCATTGTTCACACGCTCCGGTATTTGTCTGGTCAGTGTCAGTAAACAGAGCTCTGCACTGATTGGTCAACGTGCTGCAGTCGGGATGAGGCGCTACCTTCTCTTCTTTGTTCTTTGGTGCATTTGGTTAAACAGACTCTTCTTTACTATAATAGTACTCTTCTTTTAGTTTGGTTGACTTCTTGGCTGCTCTCATCCAGCATTCGTAGCATTCGTAGCTTTATCTACGAAAAACTAATTCGTACATAACCCACGAAATCAATTGTCATGTAATCCACGTAATCATGAACCAGACCCGCAAAAACCCACTGAGGGCGAGAGAGGAGGTGGAGGAGTCCAACAAACAGATCGATCACTCAGGAGATCAGTTTGTTCCACGTGTGGAACGAGAAGTCAACGCTGATGTTTTTGTCTCGTAACCGTTGCACTTAAGTCACGACGCTTCCGTAGTTATTTTTACTGAAACCACCATCTTTTATTAAACATGAGTTTTGTTCCCTAAACATTACAAAGTAGTTTCCTGTGGAGACAGAAGTTTATTTTGAAAGAACGGTCTTCGTGTATCGAAGTTGACACGTGTTGCTGGACTTTTGTGGGAAAATGCACAAAACACGAGGAGTAACTTTTTCTAAGATATCATAGGAACCGTTATACGTTGATTCACATGGATGTACACCAAGTACTCTGTTGGTATCACTTGAAGAGTACTGGTATGAACAGAGTGTGTGTGTGTGTGTGTGTGTGTGTGTGTGTGTGTGCATACGGACTTGTGAGGGCGTCCATCTCATTGTGTGCTGCGGTGACTCTCCTTGAATTCTACTGTGACGAGGTCTCTGTCTCATTACATGAGCAGCTGCTGCCATGGAGACTGCAGCAATCAGGTATCCCTAGTCCAGGTTGCAGCAGACAATAAGCCCCCCCCTCCCCACACACACACACACACACACACACAGCGTATGATATCCTGTGTTATTCAGCAGTCCAGTGGACGTGAAGTCTCTTCTCTCTTTCCTTTATTTTAAGAATGTTTTCTGTCGTTGTGTTTTTGTTTGCAGCTTGAATACAAACCTCTGTAAACACAGAGGTTTATGTATGATATATGATATTCTGTGTTTACAGAGGATCCAAACCTTCTCAGTGATGAACGTATCCTCCCACCTTTATTTCACATGGCTGTAACGCTGTGGACGTCATTAGCAGACGATCTGTTGTGTCGTTCAGGTTCTCGAGGACTTGTTGTCTCTCGGGTTCTCCGTGAACTGTGAAGGTGACATTCTGTGTAATCTACGGTCGATGAGTCAACAAAGGAGGGTTCTCACTCACCTGTGCAGTGTTTCTGCAATGGAGGGGTTAAAGCCCCAAAGATCTGGACCACATGCAGTGCTGGTCCATGGTCTGATGTGCGTGTGTGTGTGTGTGTGTGTGGCTGCTTTCTATACAGGACTTTGTGTGAGGTACAGTGTGTGAATACCGGTGCTGACGTGAGGCCCGGATCAATTGTCTGGTCTTTACAATGGATCCAAAAGGCCTTTCAGCCAGCAGCTTTAAATCATTCACTACCAGCCAGACTGGACTGATATGATTTAGGACCCAGTGTGTGTGTGTGTGTGTGTGTGTGTGTGTGTGTGTGTGTGTGTGTG